TCTGCATTAACAGAAGATATCTGTGAACCTCTAATGCAATTATCCAGCTGCTTTATGAGCAGTATGAGTCTGCAATCGTCAGCTTTGGAAATCCATCTCACTTCTGCACAAGTTACACCAAAAGTAACAAAACTTTTGGGAAAGAAAATAATCAAAACAAAACCATTTTAGTTGTTTCTTTCATACCCTTTCTTTCGGTTTCATCCTCTTACGACCCTGTACACTTTAGATTTTAGAACAGATTTATAGAAAAGAGTAAAAATGTTGTAAACCAGACAATTGTTCTGGTATTTTTGTCCTGGTGGGAGACAAGAATTACTGGAAATATCTCAGAATAAAGCTGCATTCAGAGGAAACCTCTCTCCATGCAGTCCTCTGAGATTTGGGTATTTTACAAAGGGCTTGAGTCAACATCAGACTTTTCTGTTTCTAGTGTGGTTCAGCTTTTGTGCACTGACACTGGAGGTAGTTTCCATGATGCCCATGGGCTGTCATTCTCTCTTCTGTTTTGCTTCGTAGCTGTGACTTTTCAACAGCTAATTTTTCTGGTTTCAGCAGCTTCCACTTGAACTTTGCAGACATCTCCAGTTAAGATGAATTGCCGTCCATATGGACAGACTTCTGTTTCATCAGATTTTTTTGGAATAAAGAATATTTTGTCATCAGCACAAGAAAGGATGATATTTCCTTTGTTTAGCCCTTGTTGGGAATGTTTTGAGCAGACAAAGCCCAAAAGGACCTGATTTCCAAAAACAGCTTTAGATTGTGCCATCAGCTCATTTTCCTCCTGCACAAAACTGGTTTTCTGTTTGTGTTTTAAGATGAAAATCGTGTTGCAGCCAAGGCTGGATGTACAGACCTTTAGGGGAGGATTCATACACTGAGGATGGCAAACCTGCATCTCTGGGGTTCCTCAGGGCTGGGACACGTCCCTGTTGTGCCTCAGAATTAAGCAACCCTGTGAGAGAGATGGAAATCCTCCCTTCGTGCCCAAAGCATACCACTGTTAAGAGAGACAGTGAAACAGGAGATACATATGATGCAAGGGCTTTGTTTATATCTTATACTCAGCAGACAGAGCTATTTGCACATCCACATGCTTTCCTGACTTCTTCATGGTGTTTGGAATTACGTAAGGACCAGTGACAGTAACCACTGTGTGCTCAATGTGCTCCTTAGAGCTCATCACCACTGTATGAATCTCCACACAGTGGTGACTAAACTTTGTGGATCCTGCCTTGGAATGCTTTGGTTGCAGGATAAATCATGGCACGGATTTTTCAAGCTAATTCCTTCTGCTGATACCTCACAGTCTTTTCACGAGTTTGTGAAAAGATGTGTCTCATCCCCACTCCTGAACTGTTGAGCAAGGCTACAAATTTCAATTCCACAAGTCTACTTGAATATCCAAACAGTTAACTCTGATTTCACAATAGCTGGATGTTTGAAAACATTCAAGTGTGTAGAAATACTGTGACACTAATTTAAATGTCTCACAGTCAAAGCCTTGCAGTTGTTTTCTTGCAACACGTGTCTCTTACTGGAAGCCAAACAAGTGGGGCGAGTGGAAAACATGTGACTCCCTCCCTTATTTACATCCCCTTCCCACCCCTGCCCGCCAGCACAGTTTGAATATGAAAGTCACTGGAGCAGCCTATAAATATTCAGAGAAATCCAGGCAGGGCAAAAATGTTGCAAAAACCTTTGACTAACAGTTCACAGACCCTGTGAGTTGGGACTAACCACCGCTGGCCAGGGACACGGGCTGGATTCAAACAAAGGCTGATTGTAATTTTGTGGTTGGACATGAATGTTTTGCACAGCACTGATTGAGGCCACTTTGAAAACTGGGCCAGGGTTGTAAAATAACCTATTTACTGCAGTGTGCATTGTATTTGAAAACACAGTAAAGCCTTGTAGATTCTAGCTGGGCTTGGTAGAGACCTTGCAGCTGAAAAAAAGCTCTCCTGGCTATGAGGAGTCTTGTGGGATCTTGCTTACTTTATTTGTTGCCCATGATTGGGTGAGGTAAAGTGAAACAAACACAAAGCAAGGAATTGGGTATCTTTAGGTTCTAATTCCAATTTTTCCATTGATTTTTCTCTTTGATCTTTGGCAAGTCATTTAACCCTTTGGCCCTTTGATTTCTTACACAAAGAAGTGGTATAAGACTGTGCTGCTCAGCCAGCATGATGACTAATGAATTAATGTTAATGAATTCATAATTGTAAAGCCTGCAGTCCATGCAAAGCCTTATGCTAGTGGTGAATGTTACAGGAGTCCCGTGAGCCTGTTCAGCATTGTCTGTACACGATGAAGTCACTTCCCACTGATTTACTTTGGGGGCTCAGCTGAAGCAAGACTGAGCTTGCGGGTTGAACTTGCGACCCACGGCACGAGCAGCGTGGTGACCTCCAGCCTGAGCAGAGCACGAGGAGCTGGGCTCTTAAAAGTCAGCAGGTGCTGAAAGCTGCAGGTTTGCTCTTTCTGAGCTCCACACCATGCTGTAACAGCCTCAAGTCCCCTAACTTTGTGGCGGTCCCTCAGAGCCTCTCTGCGAGCAGCATGGTCAGACAGCAGCACCTGGAGCAAGGTGAAAACCTTCTTCTCCTCACTGGGGCAGCCTGGGGGAACCCAAACCTCAGGATAAACCCCCAGTCTAGCCAAGGCAGTTGGGGAGCAAAGGCTCCCCCAGGGACAGGGTTATAACCTGCCTGCCCATGTCCCTCCAGTGCAGCAAGGAGCACGTGGGTTTGCTTTAGCACCTGAAGCTTGTGATCAGTCTTTTCATTTGTTGATTTTATTGCTTCCATCCTTTCTGTAACATCTTGCACAGCATATCTGGTTACCTGCCTGCCCTGGAAACGTGTGTGGTTGGAGATGTGAAAAGTGTTGCCTGTAGAGGCTGAGCCTCAGCTGAGAGCTGCCTCTCCTCATCACCTGCTCACACCTGGCTGCTAGCAGCAAGCTGGGCAGCTGAGCTGAGGGCTCTGGGCAGTCAGCATGTAATGGGCCCCCTGAACCCTTTTCAGTTATTTGTATCTGAGAGAGAACCTAATGAAAATGCTTCCTTTGGTTAAAAAAAAAAAAGTGCAGATCTTGGTTAAATTTCATGGCAAAGGCAAAAATAGAGGGGGAATAGACAGGTACCATAGATAATTCACAGCAAATTTGATTTCAGATGTAACTTTGGATTCTTTCTCACCTGGTTAGAACCTAACTGCTACAAATCTACTCTGCATGATCCTCCTCCATATATTTATATGTTGTTTGTGTGACTTCCACACAGAACAAGCCATGATAGAAATCTTTCATTTAATTAAAATTGATTTTAAAATTCCCTTGATCAATAATGAGTTAAAATTCATCCTGGCAGTGATGGGAACAGCAAACCTTCTGAGAAAAGCTTTCAGGCCAGTGGTTTTGGCTTTAGAGACTGGGTCTTGCCTGAAATTATCCCTTTCTTGGCTCCAGGCTCCGTGGTGCTTGGCACGTTATGGTTTACCCTATAGCCCAGCTTGTCAACCACCCATATGAAAAGCTGAGACATCCAGTCTAAAGGTCTCTTTTATTTTTCTGCCTTTTTCAGTGTAGATGCTTTAAGCATCGAACTCTTTGTAGCTCTGTTGTCATCAGTTTGGTAATGCCTACTGGGCTTCAAAATGAAATTAGAATTTAGTGGAAAATGACCCAATATTTCTTCTTTGATTCCTGCACTGCAGCCTATCTAAAGCGTTTGAAGTGCTTGCTCAGATGGCAAAATGGGGTAAGTTATTAGTAAAGGGATATTTAACAGCTGAGTTTTAAAGATTGCAAAATCCCTCTGCATTTAAGTCTTATCCCCCTGCAGAAGAAAGACACAAAGCAAATATGTATAATAGAGAAGAACATGGTTTATGTAACCTTGCCTTAGAGAAATTGGAGAGATTAATAAAGACTGGCTTCAAATGACAGTAATGCTCTGTTGTTCACACTCCAGGGTTCTTCCTAATTAATTGTCTCAAGCCTTTGCTGAGAGATACTTTACCAAAAGTGCTGTGATCAAGGAAAATTAAGGGGCTGAGGTACTCACTCAGTACTGCTTCTCTCCTGAGAGTTACTCATTTGTCCCATGCCAGCATTCCCATCTCAGTGATGAGAACTTTGTTCCTGACCAGGCAGCTGGATCCCCCTGCTTGACTTCCCTTGAAGCCACGTGGACCTGAGATAACAAATTAACACAGAGGGTCTGATAGCAGGACTGGGGCACTTGTTAACTCTGGACTAGCCTTAACAGTTTAAGTCTGGGTAATTACTGTGTAAACAACATCAATTTACACCGTTTCATAGAGAGTAAAACCAGAGAGCTACAAAAAGTGCATTGAACAGGAATTGCAGAAAATCAGTGTCAAACAGGAAGGAAAGGAAATTTCAGCTGTAGTTGAAAGGTCTGGCATGATCTTGGATCACATGGGGATGTGTCACCATTTTATTCCCTGGTTAGGGGAGACTGGTGTATTATTGAGTTGTTAATCTTGTGTTGGAAACATTGAGAGCTGATTTGCTGTTTGCTGTCTCTTATACAAGTACAGAAATCCAAAAGATGCCATGACAAAGAAATGGTTTTGGGAGTAGAAAAACAAGCACCCCAATAAGCATTTTCTAGCACATGGGAAAGGGCAAACAGATCACTCAGTTTAACTTAATTCCATAACATTGAAAACACTGTATAAAATCAGTAAACATTGTGATAGTAGGACTTCCTTTGCCATTTAAAAAAAATTCAGGACACTTTCATGTTAGTATGAGAGGTAATAATTTCTTATGAAGAAGGTTATTCCTTGCAGAAGTGGGGCAGTGCCCTGGGGCTGCAGTTGGCTGTGGCTGTACAACCTGTGACAGGTGTGTGACATGAGCTGCAGGGTGCCCAGGCCCTGGGTGGCAGTGCCAGGAACAGGCTCTTGGTCTCCCAGGCTCCCTGCTCTCACCTCCAGACAGAGCTGCCTGCAAAAAAATTCCTTTGCCCATTTTTCTTTTTATACCTACATTATCACATTTTTACAGTGAACTAGCCAAACCTTACTCATTTTACTTTCTGATGAGAAACACTTTTCACAGCTCTGCTTGGTAATAAAATTAGATGTTTCGTGCTTTCCAATCAGGCATGTCGTGATTAGGGACTTGTTTCATGCTTGCTGCAGCCCAGTTTCTCTGAGCATCTTGGATGCATCGCAGGAAAATTCCACGTTGTTCCCCAGGTGAGACTTTCAGCCACCCTGTGCTGTGGCACCCTGTATTTCAGTGTGCTTGTTCTGTGCTTTGATATGACTGGAACTCTTGTCTTTCCATTTCTCCTCTCTCTTCTCCCTTGGTCTGCTCTCAAATAACTAAAATAATTTTGCAGGTAGTGCATTCTGCTTATTGATTTGTTTTTCTTGTTTTGCTTGGCACTAGAAGTAGGAAGAAGTGTCTCTGAAACAACCAGTAGGATGGCATACAAATGGCTTTTTTTAATATTTCCTATTTATATTGAAAAAAAAAATCAGTAGCAATTTGTATTTTTTGGTTTCCTCAAACAGTTCCTCCTAGGGGAGCATATTCTTGTGGGAAGAATGCTGCTGTCAGAAGGACAGGAAAGCATGTACTGTGATTTGATTTGATTTTTCTTTTCACTCTCCTGATCCACTATTCCACAGTGGAGCATAAGGCTGTTAGATCCTTGCTAATAAAGTAGTTCCAGTGACTGTGCAAAGAAATGTCAAAATGTTAATACAGTCATCAAGAGCTCCCAGGCTGCCTCAGCTATTTGAATTGATTTCAGAGGGTTCTGATCAGAGAAGCAGTTCCTTCCTTGGAGTTTAAATATGCTTTATTTTCCATGAAGGCATTCTGGAGCCTCTGCCTTCCTCCCTGAAGTCCTAGTTGGGGGAACACTTGCCAAGTTAAACAAACAAGCCCCATTTTCCCTCTTTGCTCACACACCTGCTGTTTGTTTCTCTATGCTCCAGCCTTGTCATTGTGCCATTCCAGTTGTTGCTCGTTGTCACAAGGGAGCTGGGTACGTAAAGCTGAGGTAATTTAAGGGAAATAGAAGACAGACAGATGTAATTGCCCAAATTGTCATTAGGGCCAGGATGGGTTTGGTAGTACAAAGCTATTAAATATATATATATATATATATATACACATATAATATCCTATATTTCAGGATAAAGAATGGCCAGCACCTGAATTTCTGAGTGATGTGAGAAGCAGGACCTGATCCCACCTCTTCCTGCCACAATGGGAAGCTCAGTAAGTCCCACTCCAGACTTTTACCACCACCCCCTCCTGGATGGGAAATTTTGGCCTCTTTACCTTGTCATAATATTATTATCTAATGCAATTTCAAGTTTTCTCAGCAATTTCATTAAAAGATATGTGTTTTTCTATAATAAGAGCAAGAATATGTATAATTTTTGCTATGGAAAAATGTTGGTTATTTCATACATCTAATTTTATTATGATTGGAGATGAAAATGGACAGTGCTTCCCAGAAGAAAACTTGACCCTGCACACAACTATACTGGAGGCAATTTAGGGATTATAGTTTGTATTTTCTGATATAGTTGTCTGTTGTGTGGAAAATTTAGCTTGAAGAAAGTCTATAAAACTGGCCAGAGAGCATGAGAGAGAGATATTACATTACTTTCAATCACCAAAGTGTTGGTTTAGATGAAAAGCCATGCTGTTTTCCTCTTAGAGTTTCTGCTTCAGCCTTTCTGCTTGTGAGCCATGTAGTCATAGTCTGTGGATCTGAAAACAAATTATTTTATTTGGTGTTTCTGGTGTGGTGTATTTGAAGTGTTGGAAAATGGCTTTTAAGTCTTACCTGCTTCAAAGGAAGAAGTCTTAGATAATGGTTTGAGGGAACTGGGAGAAAGGAAAACCAGCAAAAGCTGTTGCTGCTGCTGCGTCTGATTTTCCAGTGCATCCTTTTCAGTGGATCCCTGGGACACACCTTGAGTCCTGGTGCTGCCTGGAGTTCCCTTGTGGTTTCTTTTTGTCTTTTCCTCTCAGGACCCTTTTGACCATCTGTGGCTTGTGGAGAATATGAAAGCTCCTTCCTGTGTCCAAGATCAATAGCTTTAAAACCAGAGCACAAAAAGCCACTAATCATCTTTTCCACCAGGCGTGATTAATTTCTGAAGTGCTTCAGCTAGTTCCCTTTGAAGTTCCCTTTCCATTTATTTTTTATTTTTTTTCAGCAAGTGTCCAAAACTCAGAGGCCCACACCCACATGTGTCCTGCAAGAGGCTGGGGCTGGCGAGGACTCCTCTGGAGTCTCTGCTGTTTGGATGTGGGTGGGCCAGAGTACTGTTTGGAAAGCTCTTCCAGATCCTGGAAATGTGATTTAAAAACCAGTTGAGATGTTTCCCAAAGCACCCTGGCTTCAGTGGAAAGTGGTGCTGCTTTCCTGTCTGAATCTTGGATTGAGAAAAGAAAGAAAAAGTTGGGGGAGGAAAAAACACCCCAAGCAGCCACACTACAAGATTTAATTGAGTGTTTCTGTTCCTCAGCCTCACTCCAGCTGAATAAGAAAGTGACTGAGAGAAGCTACATCTCCCATCACCTCCTCTTTATGTGAGTAAATATGACATTCCAGCAGCGCTGAGGCTGGGCCAGTGGAAATATTTTTTTATTATTATTGTTATTATATTTTTAAAGTGTTATTTTTAAAGTTAAATCATCCACAAATCCACCTGGTCTCTCTTCCTGCTTCTCCTGCACGCCACAGCAGCACTGGGGGTGCTGTTATTGCAGCACCACTCACAGAAGGGGAAACTGCATGTGATGTGTGAATGGCTTCCCTGAAACTCTGAAACCCCACAAGTGCCACACTGCCAGCTTTGCAAACACCAAAAAATGGTTGTGCTGCAATGGGTGATGTGGCATTGGCTCACATGCCAGCTTGTCAGTGTGGGGATGTACATGAGCCTCAGCACTGCTTCCAGTTGTGTTTGGCCAGAGTTTTCTAATTGATCTCTGGCACTCAGAGAGCTGCCCTTGTGCACAAGCCGTGGATGGCTGAGCTGTAGCTGATTGTTGCTCAGTTTGCAGGCACAAACAGCTCTGTGCACACGCTTTACTTCTCTGCACAGGTACATTCCAGTGATCAGAGTTTGAAAATGAACGTTGCATGTGAGTACCAAAGAAATGTGCTGCTCTTGTAAGGCTGCCACTCAGTGCTAGGTAGGAAAGGCATCCACAACCTGTTGCCAGGAAATCCCTCTTTGAAAACAGGACTAGGCTACTATTTATTTTTAATATACCAGATTTGTTTATTTTTTGTTCATGCATATTCAGTCATAACCACTTCTGGCTGCTACAGGAGCTGTGAGGCTCCATGAAAAACTCTGTTTTCTTCACTTTTGCAGTGCTAGCTAAGGATGGAACTGAAACCTAATGAGGAAGCTTGTGCTGGCAACGTTTCTTACCCAAATGTGTCGGCTCGTGCATTTCTGGGCATCTGTGCTCAATATGAAGCACCTGCTCGTGTAAGGTATGTTCTGTACAGATTGGATGATGGCCCAGCTGGAAAGGAAGAATTCACACATTTAAGAAAAAATACCTGTTGAAGGCAAAGTGGTGAGCAAAGAAGCTCATGGTTCTGCAGCAGCAGGAATATCAGGGCTGGGAGGGAAATCTCCACAGCAGGAACAGAGAATGCAGACAGAAAATTAAAATATTCTGCAGTGATTGCAGTAAACTGCTAATGTGCAAAACAGAGGCAAGTGGTTCCCTCTGTGGTTCTGACAGTGTGAAATGAGTTTTCTGCTCTCTCTTAAGGGTAACCCACTTATAAAGTAGTTGAACGATGACAGTAGACATCACTGAGGCTACAACTAAATAAATACAGCTGTAGATGTTCTCCTAAAGGAGACTCTCACAGAAAACAACTCTGTTAGGGAATCCAGGCCTTGGTTACAGTTAACAGTGGATGCAGTTTCTCCTGGTCTTACTGGAGATATGTGTTTGTCAAACTGAACATGAAAATGATGCCCTATTTAAACCATTCTCTCTTGTTTCTCTCTCATCCATCCTGTTTCTGTTTGTATTCTAAGACTGCTTTTTATCTGTCAGAACAGGACAAGATCTCTTGTCTCTGGACACTTCACGTTCCAGGGTTTCATGGCTAATGCTTGTGCCCCTGGTGACCCCTTCCTGTGGCTGGATGTTATGAGGGAATCATGACCACTGTGATTTGGAATATATGCAAAAACTATGGTTTTCATGACCTTGTAAACATTAGGTAGTAGGAGACACTATTCATTAAATGATGTGATAAATAATACAGAAATATTTGGGGTTTTTTTCACCTTAAAAAAAGAAAATAACTGTTAGTCCTTATATTGAATTTTCACGTTATGGTCTCCCAGTGTGAACCAGTTTCCTGCAGGTTGGTCCCCAAGCTGTGTCCAGAATCTGGTGCAGCTGATGTTGTATTAATTTGGCCATTATCCAGATAAGGACATCAGGTGAAATTCTGTCCCCAAGAAAGAAAAGGGCAGCACTGCCAGCTCAAGGCTTGGATTGTCCTTGAGCCATCCTCTGAGTTTGTTTCTTAGGAAAACAAGTGATTCCCAAAGTGGCTGTTAGAGCTGAGACCATTTGAAACCATCAGCTCCAATTGCTTTGAACTACCCTAACTTCAAAACAGCAATGTGGTTTTCTCTACTAAACCCAAAGTGGAGAAAAAAGTTGCTTCTGGGGCTGGAAACTTGCATGAAGGCCCAAGTTTATCTGTAATTCTAATACTTATGTGTGAGTTGTGATCCCCTAAAGCTCACCAAGCCCCCCCCAGAGTGTGGAGATATTAGTTCTTAGGAAAAGTCTGCCCATCCATGAATTCCCCTTCTCCCTGTGTGCCATTCCTTAACTTGTCTCCTGCACAACAGATTTTATCATTTCCTGCCCATTTTCTGCCAAGGTGTTCCTGCACCTGCTGCAGCAGCTCCAGGCAGGGAATGTGGGGTACAAGTGCTTATGCTGGAAGGTACAGGGTATTTTAGGAGTTCATCCTTTTGCCACTGATGCTTCATCCCTGCCTAGTTACTTTCTGGTTATTTTCCTCCTAATCTGTGCTCCCGTGTCTCACCCCACAGACTGCAGGCCAGTTTGTCTCATGGGGATTGAGGACCTGATTCACAGCTAAAAGCCTCTTTTCTGGCTTCTCTGCATTTTGTTTTTTCCCCTGTGCAGAGGAACATGGGGCACAGTGTGTAAGTGGGATTCAGCCTTTCCAGAATGGCAGTGTTCCCCTAGTCCAACAAGCAATGAGAGGTGAAGGTGGCACAATATTAGGTCTAGCACTGACTGCTTGGGTAATATTTATTTAACATAATGAATAATATTAAGCTGGGTTTTCTCTTTTTTTTCTTTTTCTTTTTTTTTTTTTTTTTTTTTTTCTGCTTTGTCTGCTTTCCTTATCCATTAATCCATTACAGGTTTTCCTTTCCTGGTTTTGAAGGGGTGAAAGGATGAAGCTGTAGTTTCAGTAAAGTCACTAAGAGTAGAGTTTCATCACAGTCACACAAATGATGGTTGGTGGTGCACTATTTCTGTACAAATATTTCACTGAATTTGTAGCTTTTGTATTGAGCTGTGTTTTCCTCCTGAATAGTTTTTAAATGGTTAGTAAGAGAGGATTTGAGGTCCTTCAAATCTCTCCCTAAAAACCCCACTGAAATTCATGTTGCTATTGAACATGTTGAATGGAAAAATAATGCTAAAAAATTGGTTCAGTAATATAATTACTATAAAAGTGCAAGAGGTTTTCCCTGTGGTTGTTTAGTGTCTTTATCTTATGCCTGGGAATGCTGGTTTGGATGCATGTGTGAAATGGTGGGGGCTTTTCCTCCTCTTGTAAACCATTTATTTCCTTCTTGTGGAGAAAGAAGCTTTGCAAAAAGAAGTGAGGCAGAGAGAGACAAAGAGATTGTGAGGGATGGATGATGGAGAGCTGATATTGGCACATGTACAGGTCTGTGTTCTTTGTGGCTGACACAGTGCACTGTGTAATGCAGCATCTGCCTTGGCACAGGGGCTCTCTAATATTCATGGAAGTTAGAAAGCACATGAAGATACATTTCTTTCTCTTTCCCTGCCTTTCCCCTTTCTTTTGAAACCTCAAGGTGTTGACTGGTGGCTCACTATAGCACTTAGTTTGTTACCACCCATTCACACCTCTGCGTGTCTACTGTCCCCACCTCCTCTCACACTTCCCTTGCTGTAAAGATGTGTTGCAGAAATAAATTGTGTTGCACAATGAGTGCGTAGAAAGAACAAGAGGGTATTTAAAAGCTGAGAAATCAGAGAAGTGGTGTGGAAAGAGAGAGAGAGAGGGAAGCGCTTTTGGCACACTGAGCTGGTAGTATATTATAATTCAAGCTCGATGTCTGCTGCGCCACAGTGATTATAACACTCATTTGAATGCTGGAAGTTGAATTTAACAGGAAGGGATTGAAAAACCCAGGACATGGGGTGCTGCTTGAGAGCTTGGGAATTCAGAGTGTGGCTTCTCTTCCTTCCTTTAGGATCTGTACGAAAAAGAAATGTTTTTCTGTTTTGGTTTTTGGGCTTGTTTTTTTTTTTTCCCTCACTCAGGTCTGAAACCATTAGAGGACTTGCAGAGATTCTGCTTAATTGTGGGCCTTAAAAATCCCACTCAGTACCTTGAGAGGTTTGTCTTGGTATGAAGAGACTTTCTGAGACAGAGAAATGAGTTGAAATAAACATTTAGTGTTTCAGCTGTGCAATTGTAACATTTTCCTTTAGTTCCACATCACTCTGGGAAGATTTGCCCCTTGATCACACTCTAAATGAGCCAAGGCCATGCTTTGCATGCACACAGCACAAGCAGACACCAGGCACCTTTTGCATTCCATGTGCAAACCTCCTTTGCTCGCTCCTGGAAGCTGGTGCTAAAGGAGATGATACCAAACTTTATTATTTTCTTTCCAATTCTGTTAAATCTCAGTGAGCTCCCAATTTGAAATGATGGCTTGCCCTTAAAGAGCTGCTTGCACTTGACAAGTGTGTGGCAGTACTTCATTAATTACCAGCAGCCCTTCCCAGCGCAACCTCAGCTAGGTAGAATATTTGTTCAGCGCACATAATTATCTCTCTGTCGTTCTCTCTCTCATATCGATTCATGTGGAAAATATGATTAAAACATGAACATCTACAAATGATTCAGAATAACGAGAGGAAAGGCCATTGTTTTTTCACACTGACTATACTAGATTACTATAATTACAGCTGAATGGTTATACATTTCTCTGTGTCCCCCACAAGACTATGCTCATTCACAGCCTCAATGTACCGTTTAGAATTAGAGAGGTTTAAAAGAAATAGCCTCTTAAGGATGTTTCTTTGACCCATTAAGGACCTTTACCTTGGCACTTGCACATGTAATCTCTGGCATAAGGTCATGTGAAGGGGGGGTAGGGCTAGGAAAAGAAACACCAACCCTTCAGACATCTGTTGTGGTGCTTCGGCCAAGAGCGGAGGGGAGGCTGTGCCAGTTCGGCAGCCGCTCCTGCAGATTGCAGTCGGCTTGCTTTTGATGCCAGCGTTAATAATGTGGGCTTCCCGCTGAGTGGGTGGCACTGCCAGATTCCTAATTAGAATCCACTAAAAGCAGCAAAAGGTGAAGGGGTCATTTCTTCCCACCCCCCACGTCTTCATCTCTTCTCCCAGCAGGTTTGTTTAGCCTCATTTTTATTACGGCCTTGTAGCCCGATGGAGAGGAGTGGGGCAGGGTCCTGTACGCTCTTGCCTTGATCTCAAATTAAACAACTGGAAATTTTGATCTGCTGAAGCCCTCAGGAAGGCCTGATTCATGGTGGTGTGTGTGGAGATGACAGAACTAATTTCACACTTCATCCATTGTGCGCAGTGGGTTCACTTGCTGTTTGCTCCTGCAGCTGCTGCAGACTCCTGAGACAGGACATCGTTATCCTCTCCTGATTTGGTACGTGGGAAGAGCCTGGTCCAGAGGGCGAGGGCATGTTTTGTGTAGCCCATTGGCAGCTCTTCCTTTCTCTTAAGAGGCTGTAAATACTGTTCCAGAGGTTTCGTTTCATAGAATAGTTTGGCTTGGAAGGGACCTTAAAGACAATCTTGTTCCATATCTGTCATGCACAGGGACACCTTCCACTATCCCAGGTTACTCCAAGCTCCATCTAACCTGGCCTTGGACACTGCCAGGGATCCAGGGGTAGCCACATCTTCTCTTTTAGGTTGGCTCCAGATTATTTGACCAATTTGGAGATCCTTGAAAAGGCTCTGGGAACTCAGGCTGAGAAATAATTGAATTGTAGGATTTTTGACATGAAGTGTGGCTAGATGTGCTTACATCCTCTGGGAGAACAAGTTTGGAAGAGGCACAGAAGCACTGGAGAAACCAGTTCAGGTGAGCACAAGCCAGCCTGGGTGTACTGTGGCCATCCCTTTCTAGCTGGATGTGGCACATCCCAAGAGCTCTGTTCTGATGGAATG